GTCGATGTGTGAATGTTTATGATCAGCAGGTTTTGTCATGTTTCCAGAAAACCTTTAATAAACCTATGACAGAACCCAAACACAGGATTGATTTGTGGCAGACTCGTGTTTCAGTGGTTCCATCAGAGAACATTCAGTCACTGGACAATAAACGTGTCTTTACACGTGGATGAAGCTGTTCTTCAGCCTGTGTGTGGTCTGTGAGAGTGTAATAATCAATACCAGAACTGATCACAGTGTCACTGATCGGTAATAAACATGACATGGGGCGTTTTGTTTGACTGCTTCCTGTCAGATCAGTAATCAGAGCATTCTCACTGATCACACCTGCCGTTCTTCTTCTTCAGGTTCATCCTCTGCTTCTCGCTGAGAGGGCGGAGACATGCACTGTCTGGTTGCTAAGATACACCCTCCATGTGACCTCAGCGCCTCCTGGCCCCGCCCACAAAGGTAAGTGCTACAGACTGAGTTTGAAGAGACGCAGAAGAAGACGGACGGACGGTCAGATAGACAGACAGACAGGCAGACAGATAGATACGGTCAGATAGACAGACAGGCAGACAGATAGATACGGTCAGATAGACAGACAGACAGTCGGACAGACAGTCGGACAGACGGACGGTCAGACAGGTGGACAGACGATGGACAACGACGGCGGTAAGGACCGATGTGATATTTTGTGCGTCTTCAGGCTGTTTGGCTGCAGGATTAACTTGGTCTGTAATCTTGATGACATGTCACAATAATAATCTGATAATCTGATATCGTTTCCATGGAGACACAGCCCACCACCGCGGTGTTTAGCAGTTAACTTAACCACAACTAACCAGCAGCTCAGAGGCTACAGGTGAACTTCACCTGCTGAGGGTCACAGGTCACAGAGCTCCATCAGACAGGAACCTTCAGGAAACCTTCTCTGAATGTTCTCTGAAGATTCCTGTGCAGTGACAGCCAGGAGTCCGTCATGCTAAAGCCAAGTGTTCACAGATGATTGGTTTACAGGAACACAGACCATGAGATCTTTATGTAGAGCACAGGTTCTGCCAGTGCTGCTGGTGGAACATCTCAACAGGTTCTTCAGCAGGTTGGATCTCACACACTGAGGTTCTTTAGAGGTTCTTTAGAGGTTCTTTTATTGTTACAGGTATATTCACAGGTTATTTACAGGTTATTTCTAGGTTATTTATAGGTTATTTACAGGTTAATTCTAGGTTATTCACAGGTTATTTAAAGGTTATTTACAGGTTATTTACATATTATTTCTAGGTTATTTACAGGTTATTTACAGGTTGTTTACAGGTTATTTACAGGTTATTTACAGGTTTTTTGTAGGTTATTTACATATTCTTTGCAGGTTATTTATAGGTTCTAGTAATAATAAATAATAAAAGTAACAAACTGATTGGCCTAAACAGAGGAAAAAGACAAAACATAAAAACCAGGTAAGGAAAAAGAAAAGACACAGCATAGCATCAAACAGAAACAAATGAATGAAACAATGATTGACAGACTCACAGGCGGTAAATTACAGTAATATTAATAGCAGTGAGTGGTCTGAGCGGCGGAGCTGACGTCCTCCGTAGGGTGGATGGACTCAGGAGTCTGGGACGACCTGCTCACCTGCTGCCTCCACGACCCGACCCGCACAACACGAATGAAATAGATGGAAAAAATGTGATTGAATCAAATTCAATTAAATACGATTGAATCAAGTCAAATAACACAAAATCGAATTTACCCTCCAGACAGCAGAAACACAGCTTTTCTCTGTTTGAATTGTTTGCAGTCGTCACATTTGATCACATGAAGTCACTGAGTTACACACCTTCTCTGACTGCTGCTGGTTGCCATAGCAACTACCAGTTACTATGGCAACAGCTGTGGAGCCTCCTGGACAACCGCTGCTAAAAAAAAACAAACAAACTACAACTTCTCCCATGATGCTCTCTGTCAGTTTCAGATGCTCTGGAGAGGGGGGTGCGCAGACAGAGCATGCCCAGTGGCTCCACCGTGGACACGCCCACTGCCAGAGTGACGGTGAGTGTGTGCGCGCGCACACACACACACACACACACACACACACACACGCTCAGACCAGCCTGGCGTTTCCATGGTAACTGGATCTGAGCTGCTGTCAGCTGGAGATCAGCTGAGCAGTGACATCACAGCCGACACACTCAGGTGTCCATGACATCACTGTGGACCAGGTATTGACCACCGTCCTCCTGGCTGGTTATTGATGCCGATATCTGGACGTGTTCTGATCATTGTTATTATTATTGAATCATTACTCGTATTGACCAATTATCGCTAAAGAAATCAGATGTTCTCCTTTGGTTCTGATCAGCCTCCTCTCTGGCAGCAGTCACTCTGTGGGCCCGCCCACAGCTCTCTCTGATTGGTCACACCTCACAGTAGCAGCCAATCAGCTGCTGTTTGAAGGTTTAGAGAACACCACGATCCTCCACAGCTGCTCCGTTTCACCTGGAAACACCGGAATCCTCCACCTGCTGGTGTCAGAGCAGCTGGAGCTGATTGTGCTGATGGTGCTAGGCTAATGCTAACACTGAGAGGTCAGCTGTGCCTCTTAGCCTGCGGCTACCGCTATCTGTAGCACCGTAACGTGTCTCTAACGTCAGACTAACTTTAACTCTCGTCTCTCTGCACAGACTCAACCTGCAAACACTGAACAAGAAGCACAAACATCAGCACAAATCAGGACATTAGCTGCTTTAACGGCAGCTAATGCTATGCTAACAGCTAACAGCTAAGTTAGGAGGCAGCCACAGATTAACCAGAAACAGTGTGTTTAAAACAGTAAGTAGTAAGGTTTTAATATATGGACCTGAGTGAGGAATAGAAGTTACAGAACAGAGAGAGATGAAGACCTGCAGACAGAACTTCAGAAGACGAGTGAATGATGTCAGTGAGTCGATGTGGCAGTAAACAGAGGAGAGCGCCAGAGGTCATGTGACGCTCTGACATCATCAGTCCTGTTCTACACCCTCAGCTATATTGTTCATTATGAGGTGGTCTAGTGATGGATGACAGGTCACATGTTCATATATCACTCTTTGTGACCAATAATTGATTTGAACATCAGCTGTGACAAAACCATCCTGATGGATCCCGACTGTGGACCTGTGTGACCCGAGAGTCCTGTTGGTGGTTCTGGTCCTGCTGCATGTATATGATCAGAAATACAGAAAGCAGGGCCGGCGCTATAGTTCACCTGGTTGAGCTGGCGACCCATGTACAGGGGCTGTAGTCCCCGACGCCGCGGCCATGGGTTCGAATCCCACTCATGGCCCTTTGCAGCAAGTCCTTCCCCCATTCTCCTCCCCCATTCTCCTGTCTCTCTCTTCACTGTCCTGTACAACAAAGGCCAAAAAAATAACTTAAAAGAAATGCAGAAGCAGGTAAAACCTTGTGGAGAAATGTACTTCTGGTTATGTTTTAATGCTTGCTGTCATTTTGGGCGTTGATGTGGTCACCTGCTCTCATCACACAGTCCTGGACAAACCGATTGATCAGCCAACAGGATCAATAACCAGCCGGGGAGAGCTGGAACAGAGTCAGTCATAACACAGCAGTCACCAACCCTCTGCTTCTTCCTTCCTCTTCCTCCTCTTCAGGGCTTCCTGTCTCGGAGGTTGAAGCAGTCTCTCCGTCGGACTCGGTCTCAGCCCAAACTGTCTCGTCACAGCAGCATGAAGACCAGCCTGATCAATAACACTGATTCCAGGTACCAAGGATACACACCTGACAATCAAGCCATCACTTTCCCACAATTCACAGGTGCCACCTGTCTCAGGTAGTTACTGCCTCCTGATTGGTTATCGAAACTCCACCAATCAGATGGCTCTCTCAGGCCAGAGCCATTGTTGGATCCAGTCTGTTTGAGATCATCAACAGAAAGTCTGGAGAGCTTCAGGAGAGCATGATCATATCTGTATAGAACATGAGAACATGTGTAAAACATTATAAAAACATGAGTAGAACATTGTCAGGACAAATGTACAGCAGTGCAGCTGATGTGGCTAACGTTAGCATCAGTCACAGCAATGGGAGAATGGTTAGTGTTTACATGTTGTGCAGCTGATGTGGCTAACGTTAGGGGGAGGACATGAGGAGGGAGCGGATGAGGAGGGAGGAGATGACGGAGTGGATGAGGAGGGAGGAGATGAGGAGGGAGGAGATGAGGAGGGAGGGGAGGAAGTAGGGCAGCGTCTCTGCAGGGGAGGGGCGACTGCTGACAGAGAGAGAGGGCGAGTCCCATAGATGCAGACTGAGAGAGAGAGCGGTGGGTGCTGAAGCTGTAGCATCAGACAGCAAGCTAACAGACAGACAGACAGACAGACAGACAGACAGACAGACAGAACAGCATCAGGATCAGCAGCTCCTCCATCTTTCTTCTCCTCCCTCTGAAGGAGAACATGGATCCATAAAGCTCAAGATGCTTGGTGAGTCTTTGTCCTCTGAACACTGCAGAGAATTACTGGTGTGTGTGTGTGTGTGTGTGTGTGTGTGTGTGTGTGTGTGTGTGGCGGGGGTGCACGGCGTCTTGCACCTGATTTGCATGTCAGTGTATGCTGCGTTTCTGTGTGTGTGTGTGTGTGTGTGTGTTAGCCTGGCTGCAGTCTGCTAGCCTGCTCTGTTAGCATGTGGCTAAGCTAGCCACACATGTTAAAGCTAAAAAAAGGGTTAGCAAGAGCACACACGCACACACACGTGTGCACACTGTGACACACGCACGCACACTCACACACATTTACATACAGACATCCATGCAGCATTAGCTTTGTAAGCAGCTAACATTAAGCAGCTTGGTCAGATAATGACAAGATAACAGACAACAACACACACTGGTACACACTGATACACACTGATACACACACACACACAGGGTCAGAGGTTAGTGCTGGTGATCACGTGCACCTAAATGTGTTTGGTTCCTATGAGAACATGAGTAGAACGTCATGAGAACATCAGGAGAACGTTTCCATGTTCATGACGTCCATCTGCAGAGTTGTTCTCGGTGAATCGCGGTTCCTCGTGTAGCTCCACGTTCCACCGGTGAACAGTGTTTGTCCAGCATCTCAACATCCCTTTTCCACCAAGGAGAACCAGGTGCTGCTTCTGTGCTGGTGCTAGCTCTGATGCGACCAGCTTTCTCACTTGGTCGCTTGTTGTCACAGGAGAAACATCTGACCTGCTGAACATGTTCTTATTGACAGACGCTACAGTTCACGATGTTCCCTGAACGCCCCACATAGCAGGCTGCGCTAGCTGCTGCTGGAGGCCGCGGTGTGTGACCAGAGATGATTTAACAGAGTGAACCAGGAGGTTCTGGTGTCAGATTGGTCCAGGATGAAGCCCAGTGATTGTTCTCATGAGGTCTTTTCTATGAGCAGAACAAACAGCATGTAGCTGAGGTCCGTTTGTCACCAGAACACCTCATTTCTAAGCTAAATACTGAAGTTCTAACAGTCCTGTTCTCCACCACTGTGGTGCTGCTGCTGGGACACCATTGGACCGGACTTCAGTGCAACTGTTTGTGCAGAACTGCCCAGGACTCATTCCAGTACGTCTGTGATCGGACCAGAGACGTTCTGGTGAAGAACGACACAAATCACCTCTTGTGTCCCATTCATCTGTCTCGGTGGTCCTGATAGCCCCGCCCCCAGAACCTGACGTACTGGTGCTGAGCTCTGGACCAGCATGGAGTTGGTTCTTGCTAAGCACCAGTTCTGAGAACCTGGAGCTGGTGCTTAGGCGGTGGACACACAAAGAACTGGTGCTGAGTCAGGCTCTGGTTCTGAACTAGACCTGGAACCAGTTTGGTAGAAAAAGGGCACCTTGGTTCCTCAGAGATCTGTTCCACTGTGTGCCTGATTAATGTCCAGGAAACTAAAGGTTCCTTCAGTTTGCTTCTGGGTTCTCCGTGGACCTTCGACAGCGAGCAAGGTTAGCACCCAAATCAATGACAACCTTGATGGGACGTTGAGGTGGACGTTCTCTTTAGGCAGCTTTTCACTGCAGGAGTGTTTACCAGGACGTTCCCCTCATCAGCCCCTTCAGCCTCTCAGTCTGACTGTAGGATCCAACAGCTTCAGCGTGAACGTGACCAGAACGTCAGGTAGCAGTCGGAGAACCCTGAGTCCGTCTTTAATTCAAAGATGAACAAAACATTTCTGTTCTTTGTTTCAAAACTAAACCGTATAAACAGCTTCAGGTCTCCAAAACCAATCAAGGTCAGTCCTTTTCAGGGTTTTGTTTGGAAACCAAAATTTGAAGTCACACAAATAATCTTTTTTTTTTTTAATAAATAAAAAATTAGACACCCAACTAATCAAAATGTTCCATTTGTGTTTTTTGCAAATTCCTTTAGTCTAAATGTGTGAAAGAACAGAACAGAAAGCTACCGTCTGGATGTTCCTCACGCTCTGACATTCTGTCTGTGGTTTATATGAACAGGAATATTAACAGCAGCAAATATTCACATGAACATGAGTAGAAACATGGAAACATACGTGTGGTGTTCCTCATGATAGATCGTGTGTTGCTGCACATTACTGTTCACTCAAGAAGTGAAGTCTGAGTCCAGTCTGTTGATCAGTCTGACCCTCTGATGAGGCCTTTTTCCAACAGGATGACTTCCTGTCGCTCTGAGCAGCTTCTTGGTGGGATGAGTCTGAGCAGCACGTCGTGGACTTGGTGGGAGACGTTGTCCACGAGGACCTGTAGCTTGGACAGCGTCGTCCTCTCAGACACCTCAGTCAGAGTCCGGCTCCTCCCCACAGTGTTACGGGCCGCATGGATCAGTTTGTTCAGTCTGCTAAGCATTAAATCATCTCCTTTGGTTCTGATCAGCCTCCTCTCTGGCAGCAGTCACTCTGTGGGCCCGCCCACAGCTCTCTCTGATTGGTCACACCTCACAGTAGCAGC